ACACACTCTCTGCACACACTCTCTGCCCGCTGTCCTCCCTGCTGACCAGACCTCTTATTATTTTGTAATTTGAATATGATGCTGGCCTTTTACTCAAAGGCTTGGAAGACTGTCAGCTGGTAAAAGTCATTTGTCCGGTGTAGCCAGTGCTTGGCGTTGACCATTGTCACCCAGACGGCCAAAGGATACTTCCTTTTGTTAGAGCAAACCTTCCCCAGGCCTGATGAGGGTGCCTGCTTTCTGAACTTCCCTGCCTTGATCTCAGCCACCTTGGGCATCTCTGTGGCTGTGTTAGGGAAATCTCACTTTCTGAGGTTACCAGTATCTTCCTCATGGCCGGATCCAGTGCCTGCCCTCCCCATTCTTGCTGCGTTTTTCAGGAGCAGCCCCTCTTCTCTTCCACCTTCTCCCTAAGGGCTTTCTCTGTCACTAAGGACTTGGTCTTCTGTTTGTTGCTTGCTATGAGCTGAATGTTTATTTTCCCCTAAAATTCATAGATCAAAACCTTCCCTCCAATGTGATGGCCTAGCAGGTGGGGCCTTTGGGAGGTGGTCAGGTCATGCGGATGGGGCCCTTGTGAATGGAATTCGTGCCTTTATGAAAGAAACCCCAAAGAGCTACCTTGCCCTTTCCACCATGTGAGGACACAGCAAGAAGGCACCAATTATGAACCAGGAAGCGGCCCTCGCCGCCAGTCATTGATTCTGCCATGCCTCTATCTCAGACTTCCCAGCCTCCAGAACTGTGAGAAATACAATTCTGTTAATAAGCCACCCAGTTGTGGCATTTTGTGATAGCTACTCGGATGGACTGAGCCAGGGCCTTTGGAAGGATTTGGCTTCTTGACACTTTCCATCTTTAGGCTTGATGCTCCTCCTTGGGTGCTGACCCCATTTCTCTGCCCCACTGTAGCTGAACCCCACCCTGTCTTGTGCTGCCTTCTCCTAGTAGGCATCTGTATGCTGACATCCTGCCCAAAACCACTTGATCCTGCCCATCAGACCTGTCCTTGCTCCCTTGGGGGCACATCTGCCTCCCCTGTCTCTGTTGTTGGCCATGTCTAGTCAGTGATGGTGTCATACCTGCTTGGCCTGACTCCTCTGCAGACCTGTGTCTCCGGCCATCATCTCTGCTCTCATCTCCGAACAGGCTCTTTGGTGTCAGTCCCACCCGTCTTGGGCCGATGTACTCCTTCCTTCTCCCTCCCTCATTCCGCCATAGCCACTTGCTGTCCTCCATGTGGACTGAGGTGTCCAAGGCTGGCCAGATGCTGTTTCCAGTGACCTCCCATTCTAGGGGGGCCATGTGGTGGGGCCATGCTGCGTCCAGGGTATGGACACGCAGGGGAGCTGGCGCAGCTCAGGCACGTGGGGCCTCTCCTTCGGGGCCAGCCCCTTCAGACACAGTTTCTCCTTGCCTTTGCTCTGCTGGTGGACTCCTGGTTCTCTCAGGAGCTGCCAGTGCCTGCTCAGTGACTGTGCTGGGAATCTCTGTCCCTGTGTTGTCAGCAGATCCACTCCTTTCCCTTCCTCCTGCCTCCACGGCACTCCGTGTGTTTCCTCCCTGAGCCTGCATGTCCCCTGCCCACACACCCTTCCTGGAGTTTCACTGTCCCGCAGCACTGAGCTCTGGTTGTCCCTCAGCTGAGAAGCCTCTCCTGTCCATGGCAGCCTGTCCAGATGGGGATCCACGCCACTCTCATGGCCCACGTCCCATGGCGGAGCCTTCTGTTATGTGAGAGGTGTTCCAGGTTTCCGTGTTCGTCTCTGCCTCCACCTCGGGAGCTCCAGGTCCAGTCTCCCTGCCTGAGAGAGCTGAGCACACAGACACATCTGTTACGCAAATTCATAACAGATGGCCAAGGCCAGGTGCCACCCAGGGTCCTCAGGCCTTCAGGTGGTGTGGAACAGCCAAGCAGTAGTTTATTTCCGGTAGTCTCCAACACTTTGTCATATACAAATGCAAAATAGTTTTATTTATGTAATCTCCAGGCAGTGCTTGGTGTGCCTTTGAACTAGGAGACCCCTTGTAATAGCCCTGTGGTCCCCAGAAGTTCAGCTCTGTTACATATCACAGAAGTCCCATTTTCCTGAGAGCATCCTAGGAACCAAGAATACTTACAGGTATTGGGAAATAATTTCAGTAAAAACCATCACATGAGATTGTTCTGTGGCATGTCTGTCTCTCCAGTGAGATGGTGGCCTCCTCTTGTGGCAGGACCTGGACCTCATGCCCGATTCATCTCTGTCTGCAGTGTCTGGGGTGGGGCCCACCTGTGGTTACTGCTCAATGAATGCTGAAATGAACACATGTGAAGCTGATATGTGCTTTGGGGATTATGCTCTTTGCTGTAAGGAGTTTTATTGCAGATGTTGCTGGGTGTAGAGTCTTAAGTATTTTAGCTATGACTTGGAGAAACTCAGCTCATGGGCTGTAGCCAAACATAACTCGTGTCAATTGCAGGTAAGAGAGAGTCTGGTCCCTGCCTCTTGCCCATGATGACTTGAGCAAGTTGCTTTTCCTCTTTCAGCCTCAGTTTCCTCAGCCGTGGACCAGGGATTGCAAACCCTTTTCTGCCTAAATCACTGGGCTATTGTAGGAGTAGCAGGAAGCACATTGAAAACAACTTGGCCTCCTATAAAGAAAAATGTATTACTCTAATCACTTCTTGTTCGGGAAGCATTTTGGGTTCCTTAGGAATAGAACATTTCCCGGAAAAAACAATATCGATTGGCAGTATCTGCGAGAGATTTTCATTGATGAAGCAATGTTCTGCTTTGTTAAATTTTGATTTCATGTGTTGTTGGTAGAAAAGAATTCTCTTAGGTTGTTACCTCCCTGTTAGTTCACGGAGAAAGTCTTCCTGTGAATCCAGGGAGGGTCTGGCTCCCCGGACTCCACTGCCTTCCAAGGGCTCCACCTTAACGCCAGCAAGGCCGGGTTGGCCTATTGCCTTTCCTCCTTATTTCTGGTAGGAGAGTTTTACTGTAAATAGGAGAGAAATGGGGTGGGAGAGTGGGGATCAGGAGATTTTTTTTTTTTTTTTTTTTTCCTGAGACGGAGTCTTACTCTGTCGCCCAGGCTGGAGTGCAGTGGTGCGATCTCGGCTCACTGCAAGCTCCGCCTCCCGAATTCACACCATTCTCCTGCCTCAGTCTCCCGAGTAGCTGGGACTACAGGTGCCTGCCACCACGCCAGGCTAATTTTTTGTATTTTTAGTAGACAGGGTTTCACCGTGTTAGCGAGGGTGGTCTCAAACTCCTGACCTCGTGATCCACCTGGCTCGAACTCACAAAGTGCTGGGATTACAGACGTGAGCCACCGTGCCCGGCCGATGTTTTCGTTTTGAGATGGGAGAATAAGAGTATGCTTATAGGCCAATGGAAAGATCTAGTACAGAGGGAAGAATTGATGACCTGGAGAATGATTATCAGAGAGGGTGGGTTCTGCACACACAAGCCATCACACACCCTTTGTCTAGTAACCTTCCCACGTGGGGCTGTGGGAGCGTCTTCTTGGGTGCAGGCAATCAGGGATGCCCTATCTTTAGAGAATTTGAAAGTAATGATCACATAATTGAAGTGTTTGTCTGCTTTTGGTATCTCCATGAACCAGCAATTCCAGACAACATCAGAGACATGATAGCCCTGCTCTGGGGTGGGCCACTGCCCTCACCCACACACCTTGTGTCCCCCTCACTATGCCCACCTTCGTGCCAGCAGGAGCAAGGTGGGGAGACAGCTGAAGATGCAGGCAGGCTGAAAGGGGTGGCAAGGGCAGTTGTTTTCTGGATGCTTCCAGTGAGATATGAAGCAAGGTCAGCTGTTGAGAGTGAGGAGCGAGGAGGATGAGACACTTGCTCACCATCACCAGGGAGCACAGAGCTCGTATGATTGCCATGTATTTGTCTAGCATCGCTAGGCAGTAAATGGCGTAGAAGTTGCATGTGACTTCCAGGCAGCGTTGAGAGTCCCCAGGAGGCTGGTGAGGGGGATTCTGAGGGGAGCCGGGTGTGGATTGCCAGCTGTCCGGATGCTGGATGAGGACACACCATGGGTGCGGAGTTGCGCCGAGTCAGTGTTGTGCTTTCTGAGTGCCCGCTGGGTTCTTGCTGCCGAATAGGCATGTTCTATCCCCAAAGTTCCTATGGATTCCAGCAACTGACAGATGACTGCTTCTCTGAGGTCCCCAGCTTTCCAGCATTTAGGGATGAGTTGGGAATTTAACCTGGGCCTTTTGGCTTCAGAGCCGTTGTTCTTTTCAGTGGACAAAGCCACTTCCTTTCAGTCTGAGTATATATAATACTACAAAGATCTGGCTTTTAATTGTTATTGTATCCTGAATTTAATGTTTTGTTATATATCTTTATTTTATCACTCTAAAAAGTGAGTGTTTTATTTCCTTCATTATGTCTCCCTGTCTTATAATGAGATGAACATAATGAACTATTGGTAAATTTTTTGAATAATGAGAATGCTTTAAATAGGAATTCAGTGGCTTTAAAGAGGCAACTTTAAACTTTAAACTTCCCATCGTTTGATTGAAAGGTGCTTGCCTCTTGAGAAATGCTATTGTGGTCAGTTTTTCCTTGCACCTAATTTGAGAGAGTCTAGCAAGACTCCTTAATTGCCATCAGTGTGCAGTTCATTCATTTGAGGGGTAGGATTTAGTTTTTCAAGTTGCATATTTGTTTTTTAATTGGCTGTACTTATCCCAGAATCTGGGCTGATGAGTAGATTTGGGTAGGGAGGAGGTTTGTATTAGACACTATCCAGAAGGACTGAGGGTTGAGATACTGAATAAAGAACTTTCTGGCCCCTGGAATTCCCTGAAGATGAAAGTGAGTGGCCTGCCGTGGAGGTGACTGCCAGAGGGACACAATCTGGTAGAGGCTGGTGATGGCTCAGAAGGGCAGCTTTTGGTATTTTCTTTGGCAATTGGAAGTAATAATTGTTTATGTGGAGATGAAATAACATATTTTCCTTTTTTTTTCCTTACAGAAAACACGGCCATCTTTATGTGTAAATGTTGTAACCTTTTCTCACCAAATCAGTCGGAACTCCTCTCCCACGTTTCCGAGAAGCACATGGAAGAAGGGGTTAATGTTGATGAGATTATTATTCCCCTGAGGCCTCTGAGTACACCTGAACCCCCCAACTCAAGCAAAACCGGAGATGGTAAGGGGACTGGAGAGCGGGGCAGGATACCTTCTGACACACCTGTTGATGTTGATTTGCTCCTTAGGCATAGCAGAAGCCTAGACAATCCACATTTCCGAACCAGAAGTCACAAAACGAGTCCAATTGTAGATACGCTCAAATAAGATTGTGTCTTTGAAATCCCATACCTGGCCCCCTGTAGGTGTCCTCCAGTGTCTGGTTGGCGAATGAATGAATGAATGAATGAATGAAAGGAAGTGGCAGTGTTCAACAGTGTGAAAGACATGAGCTCGTTGTCAGACAAGTGTGGGTTTAACCCAGCCCTAGCACCTACTGGCCGCATTACCTGAAGCCAATGATGTTACTTCTCAAAGCCTCACTTTGCTTCTCTTGACAAATGAAGAGAAATATGCTGGTTACAAGAGGGTCTGTGAGGATGAAGTTAAAGAATACACGTACAGGACCTAAGATGATGCCTGGCACACAGAACATGATAAAGGGAAGCTGTTGTTCTAACATACATGATTAATAAATAAGTCTGTATAATCTTACAGCATTTTCCAATTCTTCCTGTAAACCTGGAACAAGGATTGAAATTGCAAAGCTTTGATTTGCACTGAATCCTGAATCCTTTGGGTTCATAGTCAATGTGCAAAGTGAGATGCATCTTGTCTGTAGTGTCCAGACATCTATCACTGAGTGGGTTATCAGATGCAGCAGGTGCACGGATCAGAGAAACTATCCAGGCACTGTAATTAGGTCCCCACAGACAAAAAAAAAAAAAAAATATATATATAGCACATGAGGAACTGCTGCAAAGATCCTCACAAAACCCTGAGATAAAGGACAGCAGCTGGGCACCTGTGCAGAAGCCCAATACATAGCAGTCAGTGTCCCATTGCAGGGTTCATCAGCCACACTAATAATCCAGTGGCTCTTTCCTGGGAATATTCAGACTGGCATTTCTAAATAGGCTGGCTATTGATCATCTGTCGGACACCATTAACAAGGAGAGATTCCAGACAAAAAATGTTTTGGTTAATAAGTCCCTCTGGTCATTCCCAGGGTTCTCAGTGAAACATGCCTGACAGAAGATTAAGTTTTTGGGAAGTTAGGAAGTTCTGAAAGTTACTGTTAGTGGCATAAAGTGAAAAACGAAAAAGATGCAGCTAGTGGTGGGTGAATAAGGAGCAGCAGTTAGTATTTGTTACTTCTGTCATCACCATCAGCTAATAGCATGTGTGTCCATGGCGTGCTCAGCCCCTCACAGGCCTTGTGAGTGGACCTGTCCTCTCCCCATTGAGAGGAAGCAGGAGTGAGGAGGAAAGTTATATGGAATTGCGTCTCAACCAGTAGCACACACTTGAGACCCTTTGCTTTGGGGTAGAGGAGGAAAGTTTGCATGGGGCACTGAGAGTCCGAACCTCCTTGGTGTCCGGGGCCTTGCAGTTCAGCGCCCTCTCTCTGCCCACCCAGCCTGTGTGAGTCCTGACCCCTGGCCAGAAGCTTTGTGACACCCACAGTCTCCATGGCCCACTTCCCTGCTGAGCAGTCAGTGCCTTGCTTTCCAAAGAGTATAGCTTCATAGAGAGGACTTTAGTCAAGAACTGTGTACATCTGTGTACCTGCCTCTGGGATTGAATGTATATGGACTCAGAAAAATGGATAATGTCTCTTGTCCAATTCATATGGCAGATAGAAGCCATGTGGATCAACGTGGAAAGAACTTCTGGATTGGCTCTTGCAAAGCTTTTAGTTCTTTGCTTATTAGGATTCTCTTCTTTCTAAATGATATGTGAATAAGAGAGAAATTTTAATTTTTAATTTTTTCATTTTCTTTTTGAGACTGAGTCTCACTCTGTTGCCCAGGCTTGAATGCAGTGGCGTGACACTCTGTTGCCCAGGCTTGAATGCAGTGGCGTGATCTTGGCTCACTGCCACCTCTGCCTTTTGGGCTCAAGCGTTCCTCTCACCTCAGCCACCTGAGTAGCTGGGACTACAGGCGCCTGCCACCACACCCAGCTAATTTTTGTATTTTTCATAGAGACAGGTTTCACCGTGTTCCTCAGGCTGGCCTCAGACTCCTAGATTCAAGCAATCCACCCACCTAGGCCTCCCAGAATGCTGGGATTACAGGCGTGAGCCACCATGCCCCACCTTTCATTTCTTTTATAAATAGGAAATGAATAAATGCTGAAAAAAGCAGAATTCACATAGAATTATGAGTGTCGGTGTTGTAAGGTGCATTTTCCGACGTCCACCCTTCCACACCTAACCAGTGTTAGTGAGAGACAGTGCCACTCTTGTAGGAGCTGGCCCTGAGCTCCTGCCCCTTCCCAGAGGTTCACCTTTCTCTCAACCATCCCCTATGCCCCTCTCCTCCCTCTCAACCATCCCCCATGCCCCTCTCCTCCCTCTCAACCATCCCTCATGCATCTCCTCCCTCTCAACCCATCCCCCTTGCCCTCTCCTCCTTCTCAACCATCCCCCTTGCCCCCTCCTCCTCCCTCAACCCATCCCTCATGCGCCTCTCCTCCCTCTCAACCATCCCCCCTCTCAACCATCCCCCATGCCCCTCTCCTCCTTCTCAACCATCCCCCATGCCCCTCTCCTCCCTGTCATCACTGATCTACAGCCATGGGCCCCCGGCTGCTAGCGGAGGAGCAACTGAATGCAAATGCCATCCCTGCCTGGGAAGCCCCTTGTAGGTGTTCTTGCTGGTTCACTCGTGCATGTGGCTGGGACTCACTCAGCCTGGAGTCACCCTGAGGAACACTCCTTTGGCCCCAGGTGGGGCTGCAGGACTTTTCTCTGGGCTCCCAGAACCCCACAACTAGACTTGTTTCAGTTCTCTCTCACCTGGGTGTGCTTTCATTTGTCTCTGTTTCTCTTGCTTGTCGGGAAATGTCCCAAAGAAGGGATTTGGGCTGTTCAGCTCTTAGCCTCTGGTCCTGGCATGGGCACTGACACAGGGTATAGCCCCTTCCCTGTGTGTCCAGTGAATGGATTATCTTTTGTTGTCCTTGCTTTCTTGCCTTGGGCCTTGCTGCCCTTCCCTGTCCCAGCTGTCACCCTTCGCTCAAGAAACTTCAGTGACTTTCCCCACCCAAAGCAGGGCTCCCCAAACTCATTTGACCTGGGGACCCTTCTGACTAGCGTAAGACCCCTGACTTCTATGGAGTGCTGTTGGCAGCATGGGTTCACTGGTGGGGCCCTTCTCTTGGCGCTGCAGGCTCCTTCTACAGCCGAACAGCTGGAGGTCCTCTAGGCCTCCGGCTCCTTTTTCCCTCTGTGGTGTTGCAGATGAACCCACACTTGTAAAACTTCCCTTAACTCCTCCAGGTGGACTTTGGTGCTTCTCTTGGGCGAATATACTATGGGGGTAAACCCATCAAAGCAATTACACTTTTCCTTTTACTTTTTTTTCTTCCCAGTTTTAAGAGTAATTTTTTTTTTTTTTTCTGAGTTGGAGGTTTGCTCTTGTCACCCAGGCTGGAGTGCAATGGCGTGATCTTGGCTCACTGTAACCTCCGCCTCCCAGGTTCAAGTGATTTTCCTGCCTCGACCTCCCAAGTAGCTGGGATTACAGGTGCCCATCACTACACCCAGCTAATTTTGGTATTTTTAGTAGAGATGGGTTTGCCACGTTGGCCAGGCTGGTCTCGAACTGCTGACTTCAGGTGATCAACTTGCCTCAGCCTCTCAAAGTACTGAGATTACAGGCATGAGCCCCCATGCCTGACCCTGAAATCTTGCTGTAAAAGAAAATTAAAGCAATATAATATGGGGAAAACATGTTTTTCTAACTGCCTTCCAAGTTCTAGAAATGATGGTGCTAACAAGTGTGCTTCCAGACCTTTTTCTCTTCATATGTAAACATAAATACACTGTTATTGCTTTGTTATTTATAAGAAACAAAAATGGGATCATAATATATGTTCTGCAGTCTTCAAAAAATGTCAGCAGTATATATTGGGTATTTCTTCATTTTAATTCGGACATGTCTCCTAATTTCTTTTTTTAGTTTTATTGAGGTATAATTGACAAACAAAAAGTGTATGTATTTATGGTGTATATGTGGTATTTTGACATACGTATACATTGTGAAGTCACAGCCAACTTAACTCATGTATCTATTACCCCATGTAGTTAACTTTTTTATGTGTGTGTATGTATTGTGAGAAGATCTGTTCTTTTTTGGCTGTGTGTGATGGCTTACTCCTGTAATCCTAGCATTTTGAGAGGTTGAGGGAGGAGGATCACTTGAGCCCAGGAGTTTGAGACCAGCCTGGGCAATGTAATGGGACTCTGTCTCTACAAAAACAAAACAAAACAAAACGAAAGAAAATTGCCAGATATAGCACATATGCCTGTAGTCCCAGCTACTCGGGAGGCTGAGCCAGGAGGTTGAGGCTGTAGTGAACTGTGGTTTGCACCATTGCACTCCAGCCTGGGTCATAGAGTGAGATCCTGTTTCAAAAATAAATAAATAAATAAATAAATAAATAAAACCCACCCAAACCCCGACCTCCTCTTTTAGCACATGTCAAGTACACGATACTGTATTATTTGTATGCCCTAATTTTTTTTACTGTCTGTATGGTATTTACTTCTATGGAAAATGCATAATTTACTCAACCTTTCTTTTCTTTTTTTGATGACATATGTTTTCTCTCTAATTTTGTGCTATTATAAATAATGTTATAATAAATGTTGTCACGAATATCATTGTACATTGTGCATTCAGGTTGGCTATATTCCTAGCAGAATTGCTTGTGTAGAGAGTATACTCATTTAAAAGTTTGCTAGGTTTTATCAGAATGCTCTCTGGAAAGGTTTTTTCCATTTATATTCTCACTAGGATCTAAGATCTTCTGTTTTTCCATATCCACGTCAACTCAAGGATATTATCTTATTGTAAAGAGTTTTTGCCAATTTGATAGATGAAAAATGGAGTATTATTTTAATTTGCATTTTGCTGGTCACTAGTGAGGTTGACCATGTTTAATGTTTAATGA